TTGGAAGGGACCTTGAAGGTCATCTAGTCCATCCCCCTGCTCAGGCAGGAAACCCTATACCATTTCGGACAAATGGCTGTCCAGTCTCTTCTTAAAAACTTCCAGTGTTGGAGCATTCACCGCTTCTGGAGGCAGGTTGTTCCACTGGTTAATTGTTCTCACTGTCAGGAAGTTTCTCCTTAGTTCTAGATTGCTTCTCATTGTCATTCTCATTTAATAACAACTAAAGCAGAAGATAAATGTGTTGATTTCAGTTGTACACATTCTAATAACTATAGAAGCCCCCGATCAAGAGTTGGAATTGTGAGTAATGTTGGGATTACAAAAAGTAGTCCAAAATGACATAATGTGTGCATAATAGAAGCACAAGCGTCCTGCTGAACACAAATAGCCTTTTATGCCAGAGGCCTTCAAGGAGACTTTTATCACGGCCACTCCCCGATGGTTTTTCTAAACATCTTGTCCTCTGAAACTCTATTTACTTATTATGCCTAATAAACGCTGATAGACCCATTGTTTGTGAAAGTGAGTAAGCCAGTTCCATGTTATAACGTTGTGCAATGAACATGTGACACAAACCCTGTTCTTACCCTCTAGCTCCTCTTCAACACTACCCCCTTTGTCTACAGATGCACAGCAGCTGGAGCAGGAACAGGAACACTTGGATCCTAGGCTACAGGAGGTCTGAAAGAAGACAATATTATCCGCCTTTTCAGTATGTTCATATTACGGAATACATATAATTACACAGTGTGAACATTTCCAGCTTTTTCCTTAATCTTAGGGAAAATATATCTGCGTGAGCTAAGACTCAGCTCAACCATGAGGTTGCAGACCTAGAATGGCACCTCACTTATAATATGAGCAGTTTTAATAAATATATATTTATTACCGATAATCCTCGTCTTAGAACCTTTCATTTAGTGACTTTTCGAAATTACAACAGCACTGAAAAAAAGGGACTTACAACTGATTCCTCACATTTACAACTGCTGCAGCATCCCCGTAATCGGGTGATCCAGACTCAGGCGTTTGGCAACCATATATATTTACAACAGTTGCAGCATCCCACTTCCAACAAACTAAGTCAATGGGAGTAAGCCAGATTCACATAATGACTGCACGATTTACTTAACAACTGCAATGATTCGCTTAACAGACATGGCAAAAAAAAAAGGTTGTAAAATCAGGCATGGCTCCTCGAACAACTGCCTTGCTTAGCGGCAGAAATTCTGATCCCAGTTGAGGTCGTAAGTTCGAAGACTACCTACAGTTGACTTCTAGGGAATTGCTACATATTGGCAATGGGGTATTTTATTTAAAGTTCCAAAGAGGAATATATAACCTTCATAAAGGAATAAACTATTCTTAAAAACAATAATGACAAAAACTAAACCCGTATTTTTCCAAAAAAGGAATTAAAAACTTACACACTAGGTAATTTAAAATGCACTCTGATCTTAAACTGTTATCCTACAAATTCCTGTGAACAACACATCTCTTCAATTATTACCTCAAAAAAAAAAAAAAGTGGAGCTGCCCCTTTTGGAATGTTTCATTATTGGTGTGTGGTCACTGACAAGGCTCTACTTCTGCCTATCAGACTATCCGTCATGATACAGGAGATGAATAGCTCCTTCTCAGCTGCTTTTAGTTTAGATTAGGTGTTATTGGGTGAGATGTTTAGGACTAAGCCTTTTATGATATATAGTCTAACGCAGGAGTGCCCAACCTTGGCAATTCCCCAGCCCAGTTTTGGGAATTGAAGTCCACAAATCTTAAAATTGCCGAGGTTGGACACCCCTGGTGGGTTTGGTAGCTGAGAGGCTAACAGTGCAGGACTAGTACTACTAGCGGCTTCTCCCTTGAGATCGGCTTTAAGAAAATAGAAGGAAGGATATTTTATATCCCTTTGCCAAAATTTAGAAATACAGAACGCACAAACGTTATCCAGTCAGGAAACATAAGGCCTAGATATAGAACCATGCTATATCTATATGTTGATGTTTTTTAAAATGACAATTTCCCTGATGAAACCAACAAAGTCAGATCTTTAGATTAAAAGGGGTTGATTAGGGGAAAGAGAATGCAAGGAAAAACAAGGGAAGGTTACTGACACACAATGAGAATTCAAAACAATCAAATACAATCAGGCTAATCTAACTGAACTAGATATTTATCATATCCTTAACTAAGATACTGAGTTTCAACACATCCAGGCTATTCACAAGAGATTTACCCTCCATTTCCTCTTCCTCTTTCCTCCCCTCAGTTTAGAGAATATGGAGGATAATTAAAAGCCATCCTTTTGGGGGAACAAGTTGCCATTTTGCTCATAAAATACTCTGCTCTGAACTCATGAGCCTACCTAGCAAATCAGGATTTGCTAATGTCTATAAACCACCTTCCTAGTGACTCCTGATGGAATGATAATAGTCCCATCTAGATTCCACTAGTTATGCCACTCTATTAATAGGATTAAAGGGAAGCAACGTTTTTGAAAGTTTTCTGTTAATTCAACTTCCCCGATGCTTAGGGGGCACTATTGCACCATATCAAAAACTACAGTAGGTACTTATCATAAGGCAATCAAAATGAAATTGAATATGAAACTATAGAAGTGCCTGGGAGGAATGCCTTTGGAGCGGGAATAATGATAATATGGGTACCAACCATGCCTTCCTGGAAGGAGTGGAATCCCACAACTCAGAAAGCCTCCTTTCTCAGTAGCCATCCATCTCATTTCTATGGGTGGGACCTCTTGAATTTTGAACTGGGCCTGGAAACATACTTGCACCATCTGATTAGCTAGTCCCAGTTAGAACATCTGCAGCACAATTTTGGAGTGATTCAAGTTTTTGACCCATCTTCAAATATAAACCCAGACACAAGGTACTGCAGTTATCCAAACATATTTAGTTTTTAATTACACTGCAGTTATACAGGCAATTAATTCTTTGTCCTTTCAATCTACCAGTTCTGTTACCCACTCTACCCTACTTTTATGTGACTTATCTACTTATTTTGTTTCTCTTCCTTTCTCTTTCAACTTAAGTGTATTCCTTCCTGAGCTCCACAGCTTCAATGTAACTCTTTAGCTATCACTCCCCACCCAACCATTATCAACCAAGATTCCTCCATCAATGACTTGAATTATTTACAAAAACAATAACAGTGGGATATGAATAAATACATATTCTATGGCACTCTCATTCTTTTGCTGTTTGCAGACTATTTGTGCAAAAACGGTGCTAACCACTTACTTCATTCTTTAGACCATTTTCAACACTTTTCCTCTTGCGAATCAAGGTGAGATAAAAGCCTGATCCAAAGGAGTTCTTTAAGAAAACGGGCGATCCTGAGCAGTGCAACTTTCCTCGGGAAACGATGGCAATGCGATCTCCAAGGATATCGGCCTCGTCCATGTGATGGGTAGACAGTATGATGGTTCTGCCTGAGGGGAAGCAACAGATCTGTCAAGCATCCTTCGGGCATTCAAAATTTGTACCTGGGATTGATGCAGAGGAGTGTACAGATGTGCACACGGGAACGCTTTATCCTGGCCATGTCATGCTATTTCAAACACGGATAACCTGTCAGGATGAGGATGAGGATGAGGCAGAGAGAAGGACACGCAATGTTTACATCTCCCCATTTTTTCAACTATCTACATTAGAAGTGGGCAATCTTTTTGTGCCATAAGGCACAACATGTTGAGAACAATTGACTTAGGACCGTAATTGAGCCTGGAATTACAGTGGTAAGTGATCACATGACTGCACCCAGTTTTACAACCATTTTTGCCTAGGATTGCTTTCCCGTGGCTTAAACACCCTATAATATTTTGATTGTACAGAGATCAAGAGAAACAACATTATTTTGTCCTGAAACACAGCAGAAAAAGTTTACTGGAAGAATTTGAACATTCCAGCTGGATCTGGAAAGGTTTCTGGCTTGCAGAGGTCCATGGGAACTTAAAATACTTATCATTTATAAACTAAAAAAGGCAGAAGTATTACAATCATACGAAGATCTAAACAGCCACTGTACATCATATGACAAAAATCATATGACGGATTTCTAATAGAGGCTTTCAAGTCTGAGCTATTTCTCTGGATAAGCAAAGCAAGGTCTTCATTGTGGTTTGAACTTCAGATTTTGCTAGTTCCTCAATTTATTTACTCATACTTAAAAAAATTCCGATTTAATTTTTATTAAATGTAAGAAGAAACAAGGGAAAGCCCCACTTCTTTTATATATATATATATTTTAAAAAGCCAATCATACATACATATATGCTGTACAGGTAGTTCTTGACTTACGAGCAAAATTTCTGTTGCTAAGTGAGACATTATTAAGTGAATTTTGCCCATTTCTTGCCAGAGTTGTTAAATGAATCACTGCGGTTCAGTTAGTAACATGGTTGTTAAGTGAATCTGACTTCCCCACTGACTTTGCGTGTCAGTTGCCAAGTGTCAGAATTTTGATCATGTGACCACGGGAATACTGCAGTAACCGTAAGTGTGAAAAATGGTCATAAGTCACTTTTTCAGTGATGTTGTAACTTTGAACGGTCATTAAATGAACAGTTGTAAGTCGAGGACTACCTGTATTCATTTCATGTTCTGCAATTAAATTATTAACTAATAAGTCAATTAACTCAAATAAAGAAATCAATATTATAAACATTATCTCCCAGCTTTTTTTCACCTCGGTTCTTGAAACATATCACTTCAGAAAACCTTACTCAAAAGGTACCCTTAACTCGTGAGTAAACATGCATAATGTAGATAGTATAATTAACTAAGCAATAAATGACCAGTTCAGGAAAAAAAGGACAATTGCTATAAAACCACAAAAATTCACATGGAAAGTAATTTCATTAAATTAACTGAAGCTTTATAATAGTTTTATAATTAAAGTTTTATAATAGTTACAAGCTATTGTAATTGACATAAAACAAATGAAATTAATATTTTTCTGGCATTTTTCAGCTCAACATGTCTATTGCTTTTACATAATAATCCAGCATTGCTTTTATTAAATGAAATATGACTATCCATTAATTTTATTTATCCAAATAATAGTTTTCCCCATGGCTGAGTACCCAGTTAATAATGAGGAAAGGGTCAAGTGCATCTGTCAAAACACTGCCCATATATAATTAGTTTTATCTTAACAGTCTTAAGTTTTAGACTACAAAGGCTTGTCAAACAATAAAGCAAGACAAAATATGTAAAGTTGCATGTTAGCGACAGGTGTTATTTTCCACCTTCCCCCTTTGGCGGAGAATGTGTGTCATCTTGTCATTTTTAGTCACAATAAACAAGCTAATGGCTTCCAGAGAGTACTTAATGCATTTGGAAAGATGAAGGGGCATTGACCTAACACCATAAAGTCCATGAACTTTATGATTGCTACTTTTTCATTTTAATGGGAATCCTATTTTCAGAAGGAAAATATAATTATGGGTACATAGACAATAAGAGAGAGTCAGTTTGATGTCCCTCAGCCCAACCCACCTCAGGTTGCTGTTGTGGAGAAAATAGGAGGAGAAAGTGTGTTGGATATGCTCGCTGCTTTTAGTTATGTCATAACAGCCTTAGGTTTTAGACTACAAAGGCTTGTCAACCAATAAAGCAAGACAAAATATGTAAAGTTGCATGTTAGAGACAGGTGTTATTTCCCACCTTCCCCCTTTGGCGGAGAATGTTGTCATCTTGTCACGAAAGAAAGAAAGAAAGAAAGAAAGAAAGAGAAGGGAGGGAGGGAGGGAGGGAGGGAGGGAGGGAGAGAGAGAGAGAGAGAGGCTTTTTGTGCAGCTGCTGTGGAATACACAACATACACTCAACACAGAGTACACATACACACCCGAACTGTTATCAAATAACTCATAATTTATATAGTGCTATATAAAGTTCCTTTAAAGCCAGAAGTTACTTTTTTTGAAATAAAATTACCTGAGCGGTATTTCAGAAGGAGATCCCAAATAGAGCGTCTGGAGTATGGATCCACTCCAGATGTAGGCTCATCTAGAACTACTACTTTTGCTTCACCCACAAAAGCAATGGCAATAGATAGTTTCCGTTGCATGCCACCTAAATAAAGGAAATGGGAGAAAAAAATCTTAAAACATACATTTTTATCCAAGAAAGGGCTACTTTAATAGAGGACAGTTTGCTTTTGGGTAGCATACAAGAGAATTCACATTAAGTCAATTTTACAAAGTCTAGTAGAAACTCAAAGATGGTCATTTACCCCTTGATAACATGGGTTAATATGCATAAAAGTTTAAACCGGAGAAAGTATGCTATACTTCAAGAGTCCATATGATTCTTGTTTAGGTTTTACCATCGGACAAACAAAGCATTGCTCTGAAATTTACTTCTTATTTAATATGTGTATTCAACATTTTTCTTATAAAATACTCAGAAAGTCTTGCAAAAATAAAGATAGAAATACAGTCTTAATACAGAGCAAAGAGCAGATTATTGTAGCCGTTTGGACAAATTACGGTTCTCCAACTTCTACACCTGACAGATTTTGAGCCTCTTCATTCCTTTTCTGTGGTAGGCCAATGTCTTCCAGGATCTTTTCCATTTCCAGTTTTGCCTCTGCTTTGCTTCTTCCTTTCAACCGGGCATAGAACTGAATGTGTTCTGCAACAGTAAGGCTAAAGAAGAAGAAGAAAAATGGTAGTTTTAATTGACCAAAGGAAACAAAGAATATTGCATTTGTTGCTTTTCATATTTCTTCAAAAATGTACAAACCCTGGTTTTTCAGGGGCAAAAGAAATAGGCCTGCAGTATTGGTAGAAATCTCTCCAAGCGCTTTAATTGCGTGAGAGAGGGAGAGGAGAGGAAGGGAGGAGCTTCATTCATTATGAAAGAGGAGAAAACATAATCCATTAGAAATGGTATAGGAAAGCTCTTTTGCAGCTATGGAGAGTCCTTTCACAGGCTGAAAAGCATCTGTCTTGATCGGTCTAGACTGGAGACTAGAATTAGATGATAGCGAGTGCCAGTACTAAAGTGACATTTTGATAACATCAGTTTTATTTAACACAAGTAAAAACTGGTTTGGCACAGCAACCAAACAGGACGGGTACAGACTTCAATGGATGGATAGGACTGCAGAAAAAACAATCGCAACCAGCCTGCCTTCCATTGAGGATCTACATACTGCACGAACCGGAAAGAGGGCTGAGAAAATATCTACAGGCCCCTCACATCCTGGACATAAACTGTTTCAACTTCTCCCCTCACGACACCGCTATACAGCATTGCATGCCAAAACAACTAGAGACAAAGATAGTTTTTTTCCCCCCGTGCCATCAATCTGCTGAACACATAATTCCCACAGCACTAATTTCTCATTTTTTTCCATCCTCTCATCTTTCCTACTATCTTCTCCCATTGGTTTCTTATGATTTATCAATTGTTGTTTGTAACATGATTAATAATTGTAACTATGATTTGTGATCTATGGCCTAGTACTTGCTCTTTATATGTACACTGAAAGCTTATGCACCGGAGACAAATTCCTTGTGTGTCCAATCACATTTGGCCAATAAAGAATTCTATTCTATTCTATTCTATTCTATTCTATTCTATTCTATTCTATTCTATTCTATTCTGTTCTGTTCTGTTCTGTTCTGTTCTGTTCTATTCTAAGCAGTAAACTAAGCAAGCAGTAAGAACGAAGATGCATCATTTCTTAAAAACAGTAACTTGAGAGGCATCCATGGGGAGGAGAAGGGAGAGGATCAAAATCTGCAACACAGTAGCATGGCGTCACAGACCAAGCCTTACCTTTTGTAAATAAACTAATGTCTCACAAATATATAAAAAAGGACAGAACACATATCATTATCCTGTGCCTGCTAACTTGCAGATATTGACCTGCCCCTTATATCATGGCACCTTATAGCATTTTACGGACAAAACCAAGGCTTTTTAGAGAATTTTGAAAGACATTTATATTAGCACTTACTGATTGAACAAGATGTTGTTTTGGGGGCACATGCCTAAACTCTGCTGGATGGAATCGATGTGTGTTTGGACGTCCATTCCATCAATCAATATTGTTCCAGCTGTAGGTGGGAATAGACCTGTAATGATAGACCTAGCCCAAAAAAAAAAAAGACCACTAAAAGGAACCAGATACTTGGAGTAAAGAATATTGGATTCATAATTAGTAAACATGATAATAATATAATAATTGCAAATAACAATTAAATTACAGCTATTATTACCATTAATTTCAGATTAATTGGTGACCTCAGATGCCATTAACTGGTTCCCTGAGATCTCTGGAGACATTCAAGTGAACATAATACAAAAGTGGATGAATTAGTATGTTTTTGATTAGACTTTTCATCTCTCTCTTCCCCCCCCTCTCCCTCTCCCTCTCCCTCCCTCCTGGAAAGCAAGGCCATCTTCAAAGCCGTCTTCCTACTGGGTGAAGATGATATCCATATAATAAGTTCAAGATGGGATGTGCAAAAAGACCTGTTAATACTAAAGGACTTCTAATGAGATTTTTGTTTTTTTAAATAAAAATACATATTCTCTTTTTACCCTGTATTTTAAAAAAATATTGTCCCTGTGTTGAACTAGGGAATTAGTCTGACTTGGGCTTTAAAAAGAGGGAATGGCCTGGCATTAATTGGAAGAACTGGCAAGCAAATACAGACCTGGTTAAACATCTCATTTTTATGATGTTTTTCACTTCTTTAAGCATTTTCATTTCTTTTAAGTGCTTTCCAACCTTAAATTCTCCATGGGACTAGGACTACTTAGCTGTGTAGATGCTTAGCCCAGATTCAAAAACAAAGTCTTCAACTACAAGTCTTATTTTGGAATCCCAGAAGAATGTTTAAAGTTACTTTGTCATCCTCAATTTTTTGCAGGGCTGTCATACCAATGATGGGGAAGATTTATTCAATGTTGCATAAAAGATTTTGATCTAAGGCAACAGGTTCAAATGACAAGGCAGGATTTTGATAGAACATTGGGAAGAAATGAGCAATTTCAGAGTGATACAGACTACCTTGGAAGATGGTAGACTATTAGCAAAGACAGATGCTACTTATTAAGGACATTGCACAGGCAGATTTTCCTCTACTGTAATAGCAAGGATAGAGACTAGATGACCTATTTTCATTTCTATGTTCCTATGAAAACTGACGGATGTAGTTGTACTGCAATGTCCACAGTTTTTGCAATGTTGACTTGGCCACAGTACACCAAAATTCCTCAGGAAGAAACCTAGCGGCATTGGGAAATTAAAGCCAAAAAAATGTTTGTCCAGACTCCTGAGAAACAATGCACCTGGAACTCTCATAGGCCCAAAGGCCATATCAACATTGTGATTTCATTGCTTTTTCAGCTTTTCCAGACAAAATACATTTCTTCGAGCACAAGACTTGACCCCAGGAAGATGTTGCTCTTCCAGAGAGACATCTGCTTTTGTTTCTTCTTTTTTTATATTTATTAGGCATTTCCTTCACCCAGGACCTTGCCTATTTTAGAATAATCTTTCCCCCCCTCTCCCTTCAGATTGTAGCTGAAGTGGATAAACTGACTTCATAATTCACAATGTTTGAGACAGGAGAACAGGATCAACTTATTCCTAGGAACAAAGGTACTATCTGTATTGAAAAGTTTTGCTCTTGGATCTAAATTCCACATAGCTCCACGAACTATCTTTATGCCTATGCAAATTTGGAATACATTTAAAATTTTTAATCATCAAGCAATGTGATTAGGCTGCAATATCAAACAGGCACCAAGTCCCCTTGACTACTCTGGCCAGGTTGGGTTCAAAATTTTACATAAAAAGAATCCTATCTGTTTCAATTAATTTTACAAAGCGACCAGTATTTATTTCTAGATGAAAATGTCTATTTATATCCTTCAAACTTTATTTGAAGAGAAAAGACCGAAGACCGTCAAGGTCCCACTTCGCTTTGATGGCAGCCTGCCATAAAATGTGGGGAGGGAAAAAGGAGGATACAGGGAGGGGGGATAACAGGAACCAGAACCACCAATCAAAGACAATGGTTGAACGATCCAGGACACAGGCATGGGAATAGAATGTGAACGCCTATCAAAGAGGCATCAAACTTAGAACGGTTACCAAAATAACTAATTTGAATATTATTGGACACTAGCAAGATGAACAAGGGGGGAGGCCTGGGAGAAGGGAAAAATATCGGCTTTATATGGGAATCTTCAGATCTGGCTTTTCCTACGCTGTAATCACTTGGCTTTAGTAAAGTATACCTTTCGCCACAAATGGACTCGAGGGTCTTTCTTTCCTAAACATCCAAGCTGTGACAGGTCCAACAGTATGTCCAGCAGATCAGATGCCCAAATATTATCACTTGTTGATCTGACATGTACCTACCATTAAGCCTGCCTATTTTGTCCTATGTTCAAAACATTATACATACAGTAATGAACTTCTCCAATTTCCCCAACAACAACACTCTAAAGGAGAGTCAGATGAAAGATAAGTGGCTTGCAAAAGCCACTTACTTAGCTTTCACAGCTGAGGATCTTCCAATTCTAGTCCAATAACTTAACTTGATGGCTTCGTGTCAATCTTTTTTCCTGAAAGCCAGACTGACTTACATAACAGTTGTCTTTCCAGCACCATTGTGGCCAAGGAAAGCGGTGATTTGGCCCTCGTAGAAGGTAACCGTCATTCCATCCACTGCTGGCTTGGAACAATTGGGATAGATCTTCACTAAATTCTGGATGCTCACACCAGGTTTTAAACCAGAGGGCTCCACTTCAAAATATGGATTTGCTTGAAACAAAGAAAAATCTATTTTAAAAATGAGAGATGAGCTCCATGGTTGCAACTCTTATACAATTAAGCTATTTATGTATGTGCCTGTGGTAAATATCAAGTAAAGTACTATCTAACACCAATCACTTGCAATTGACAAAATATTTATGCATTCTACCATCGTACTTCCATCTGGTTTTGCCACTGCATATACAATGGTGAGCCTATTTAATTAGTTCCTTTAGTGGGTATCTCAAATTCTGTGATATCACTAGAAGGTACTTTTAGATAAAACTTCAGAACTTCAGAAGTGGGATTAATATTAAAAATGATGGGTAGGTTTCCACACAGAATAAAAAAAGAGAGGCTATATTGCTTAGTTGCCAATCTTTAGAAAATTACAGCGTAATTTCATTTAGTGAAATTTTCCTTTTGCCAATGCAAATAAATTTCTACAGCTAATATATGGAAAACAGGGTTGCCTCTATCACAGGGAAAACAAAGTTGCCTCAGTCAGGAGGTTTATGGACACAATTAGAGAAATTAGGAATGCGCAGTTGTTAAGTTTTAGAGAGTGACTAGGCATTGGAGGTTTTTTTCCAATATCGTGAAATTGCTTCGCAGCAAGATGGCCGGCAAATAAATTAAATAATAAACCTCAATGCATAAATAAAGCTATGCAGCAATGTAGAAAGAAACATGTCCAGTTTGAACTGGATTAAGCAATTGCAAATGAATAATGGGCCATTTAACTACAGCCTCTTCATAGAGCAATTTAAAGGGGACACTATGCTGCATCAGTCTTTGAAGAAAGCAGGGGTGATCTGCAACAATCTAAGAACCTGGCATGAAAACAAGACATCTGTCCAGATGGGCTTTCTTCTTTCTACAAAAGGGACTGTGTGAAAGCTCTGTAGTTTAAAATAACACTTTCCTTTTTGTCTTACTGGGAGAAAACCGTTGTTGTTCAGCAGGGTAGACCAAGGCTATGCTTTTCCTTTTGTCCCACTTCATCTTGGCTGTCCAAATGCTGAGCTCATAAAAGTGTTCTTTTGAATGTCACCCTGGGAAGTATTTTATTTTATTCAGAGCCAAAAATACAGACTTTAAAGTAAATAATCTTCTTGGGTATATGTGAAGATGTAAATTGGTTATCCAAATTACCTCACGGTTTGTAGCAAATTTCTGTAAAGATTGTATAAGCATCAGAAGAGTCTGGAGATGCTACATCTAAGGCTGTCCCACTCTACTGCTGAGCCCTTTCATTGACTCTTGCACTTTTATAACACAAAAAGCTATTTGAAGTTAAGGTCCAAGGGGATAGAATGGTCCAGGGGATGGTGGAGAATGGCATATACACTATTGTTTCATAACAATGCAGTTAAAAGAGAAGGAACAGCACGAGTGATGGATTATCCATTTTTCAAGGAATGGACATTAGATGTTGAGGAGCACAGTCTCAAAAAAACTTCCAGATGTCAGAGAAAAGTATCAGCACCTTTCCCCCCCAAAAAACGTTTGAACAAAGAGTAGGGATTTCAATCCAGCCTCAAATCTAGAATTTACATTTATGTGAGGAGGAACTATGGGGCAAATTAGCAATTAGGACTGCAAAATGAGTTTTAATGGGAGGATAAATCAGGTGCTTTCAAATGAGACCTATGCTTATGCAATCCACTGTCTTGTTTCTTCTAACAGACATGTGATCACCCCTCTGTGCAAAAGGCAGATGGATTATCTAGTAGAAATAATTAAAAGACTAGTATTAAAACAATTTCATACTTAATATCTGTCAAAATAACTAAGGCAAATTAAATCAAGATTTGTAATATAAATAATTTAATATCTCAATGCATAATCCCATATTAAGCTACTAGGTTATTTGCTTGGTTTTGGCTTACGTTATGATGATTAATCACCATGACTAATGCAGCAAACGATAATTAAAACAAGTATTAGTTTGGCATGAAATTGCACTTTGCCAATCCCTCTTTGTCCCACTAGTAAGTATTATGCTGAAGGCATCATAAATAACGTTGAAATTTCAGCAAAATTCCATGGAGCAACTGCAACAGTTTTATCAGTCATCTGTATCGATCACTTAATATAAGTTAATAGTATACCTACATAAGATCCTGTGTAGTTTAATGTGTATGTGTGTATAAATAAAATTCTCTAGGATTCTGCTTTTTTCAGTCTCAATACAGGAAAATAAGATAAGCAAATCAGAGAAATTTAAATGACAATATTTTTCAGATCTCACTGAATATTTTCAGAAATTTCTTTATCGCATAAATTGTTTACATCTCCAAGGGGAAAAAGGAGAATGTGAAATATTTATACCAAGGGCAAGGTAGGCCAGTTTCTGTAGTATTTTCAGAACTTGCAAGACCTTTGGAATTGATAGGAAGGTGCTAAGAGGAGATTAGGTAAAATGATCTTTGCTTTCGGACAGGGCAGATTGTTTATCCACCATCACAACTGAAATCTTGATGAACCAAAATGGATCTGGTTTATTTCAACTCTTTCAAGGAGCTTCTTCTTGGCTTGTCAAACGTTGGATTGACCATCTTGTCACCAAGTGTAGAAAGCTCGACTCAGCTAAATCAGAACACCCTGAGTCATAAGCAAGGGCACACAAACCTTAAAGTTTATACTTGTAATTTCAATTTAAAGTAGAAATATACCCATGGCCCCAACCATGTGTACTGATATGAGAACTGGGCTCCATACA